TCGATGTGCACCTTATTGGATAGCAGATTTTATTCCATTTTTTCATAAATATAAATTACAACCTGTAAGTTTATAATTATTACCATCTATAAAATGTATATCCTTCCAAAAATTTTCTCTTTTTCTCCTATGTTTCTTCATATTCTAATTTTATTATTATTGTTATCTTTGAGATAGAATAAAATCAATACAGTTTCAGAACATTGGCAATGTTTGAAGAGTGTTTTGATAGTGCATATTTTTTTTGATTTACCTTTGATTTTTTCATTTCATCCAATTGCAACATTTTTTGGATTGGATGTATCAGTTGTACCTTTTCCTCATTGGCAAAAAATGGCATATCAAGTTGCTATTTTTTTTGTATTTGAGGACTCTTTTCACTATTGGTTCCATCGTCTTTTACATTATGGTTCATTTTACAAATATATTCATAAACAACATCATGAATATTCTGCACCTTTTGGCTTAGTAAGTAATGATATGGTTTTTTTAGGAGTTAAATTTTTTATTTATTTACTTGCTGATTAATTGATTAATTGGTTTAGGCAGCAGAATATGCACATCCCATAGAGGTAATGATTTTAGGTACTGGTACAATTGGTGGACCACTTATATGGGTATCAATAACTCATGACCTTCACCTAGTCACTGTGTTCATCTGGATCACCTTACGGTTATTACAAGCAATAGATGCACATTCTGGCTATGGTAAATATAATCATTATATTTGTTTCTTTTAAAATAAATTAATAAATTTTATTAATTTATATGCATAAACAGATTTTCCATGGTCACTTCGAAATTTCCTTCCTTTCTGGGCAGGTTCAGAACATCATGATTATCATCATATGGCATTTGTCAATTGCTTCTCAACATCGTTCAGATGGTGGGATTATTTAATGGGAACTGATTTAAAATATAGGGCTTATAAAAAGAAACGGGTAGAAGAAGAAATGAAAGATAAGGTTGCTGCATCTTCCTTCACCACCACTTCTTCAAACAAACAAAAAACTAATTGATTCATTGTATAATGTAATATTAAGAAAATTTAAATTTAGAAAATAAATAATAAATCATAATATAATATCAATTTATAAATATATCATTATTACTATCATATATTTTTTAATAACAAAAATTGCAAAATTGTCAAGATCGGATATTTAAAACTAAATCTAAACACTCAAGAAACATAGAAGGGAAAAAAGGACAGACAGGGTCTCTAGTAATGGCCCTGTAGTAATGACCTATTTGTTTTAGGGGGATGAAATAAATACCTTCTTTGTCCATTAATTTGTTCAACTATTTTAATCATCAGATCGCCACCACAAAGTATACATTCAGATGCAACATCAACCAAATCATTCTTTAAATGATCTATTTTAGGTACAGAAACTGCATCTATCAATCCTTTTCCAGACCTCCTATTATGGTAGTCAGTTATCATGTGTTACTACATCTTGTGATGATTTTGGTCATATCTTGTAATTAAGATGTTTTGCCACCTAAAAATAAATACCATAGTAATTCACATTCTGATATGAAAAGCATTCCGACATAAAAAAGGCTATTACAAAAAAATGATTGGATATCATGTTTGCATGATTTATCTATCTGCAATTTTTTGTGTGCGCGCCCTTCCTTTTTTTGAAACACATTGTATATAAATATATAACATTTTAAATAAATAGACATTTTAATCTAATACCTTCAGCACTTTATCAATAAAAGGAATAAATGACAAATGAGTAGATATACTTAAGATTGAAGGTATATTTGCCATTCTTTCCTGAATTTGTTCTTGTTGATAATTTTAAGGTATTTTAATTATTATAAAATCAAAATAAATAAACAATACTATTGATAATAATGCTTTATGATGTTTTATAATAGAGCAAAATATTAGCACTTAAAATAGAATGCAGCAACAAATAGCAGCAAAAAATAAAAATCAATTACAATTATTTGAAGATGAGATGAAGACTGACAGTTGTAGCCGTTGATATCATAATTGTAGTTGATCTGTTTTTCATAATCCATTTTCTTACAAATCTTACAAATGCACTTGATTTTACAATACCTGATGAAATAACTATATAAGTATGATGATAATATCTTTAGGAAGTATCTTACTAAAATCATTTTGCACAAGGTATAATTTGCTCTTCTGTAAATGTGAAATAATGAATCAGATTTGCATTCTAAATTAATAATAAATATTAATGATTAATATTATGTTTTTAATAAATTAATTATTAAAATTATTAAAATATATATGTCTATTTTTATCCCATTTATTCTACTTGATTATTGTTAATAATTAAAGGCAAATTATTTTAAAGAAAAGTTTTTATTTTTTTTTAAGTAAAATTTATTTTACTCTGCTGTAAGAGGGTTGAGAATAGAATCAGGCCTACCCACCATTATATTCGACTCCCCTTTGGCCTGATACCTACCTCGTTCCCGCCGAGTGTGTGCCACTTGGGTTAGATGCTTTCTGAAGGCAAGGAATATTTTTAACCAAAAATTCTTTGTGGTGGTGGGAGATCTTACTGTTACGTTGGGAGATGCCGTTACAGTAGATTTACTTTCTATACCTGAATAGTGCCATTGGTGCTATGATGAAGATAAAACAAAATAACATATTGCTTAGACTTTGGTTCTAACCTTTTTTATTTCTTATGAAAATAAATATATATGCCACATCGAAGAAGATTATATGTTCAAAATTTGCATATTAACACCTCCCTAACCCGCCGCCTTAGCCACCTAATCCAAAACATCGATTACTATGAATCTGTTACTAACCGCCGCAATTACTCACGTTATAGATACATATACTATCATATTGAACTCATCCGTATATTAATCAATTCATTTCTTCTTAATCCTACACCTTTTTTATTTAATCAACTTCAAAGTCAATGGATTATATACCGATCTCTAATTCAATCTGCTTTAAGATATATTTAATGGGCAATCTCTTTATTATATATATATATACTTCATATATGTTGCTTGTTATATATATTATTATAAGATAATTAACATTCACGATTCCTATTTTTTTAAAAAAAAGCGCAATATATATAAAATTTTTCCTTCTCCACATGCTCCTGAAGAGAGCTTCGCCCTCTTCAGAATTCCTGGGACCATGCATTTTCTGCAAAGATGCTTTAGAAAAATGAATATTATCATCATCTCTTTGTTTTATAATTGGAGTATTCTTGTTACATGCTTATATATATATATATATTATCTAATTAATAAAATCATATAAATATGTGTATATCTTTATTACATTGTAAAAATCAAATCGCATATACCATTTTGGCACTACTTGCGAAACCCTTGCAATTTTTTGGTCTATTATTCATTAATTATATATATCCATCCATCAAGAAATGCGAAGAAGTTTTCCATCTCTAATTCTCAAATGGGATTACGCTTTTAATCTTTAATATTAAATTTATTAAATTCATGGATAATTTCTTTTGTAACAACTCTTTAATCATGTAACAACTCCAATCATTAAAATAAATAAATATTCCCGCTAACATTATATTATAGAATTAATAAAAATAAAAATAATAAAAATAAAAATAATGAAAATAAGAACAGATTAAAATAAAATAAAAATAGAAATAAAATTTAAATTGTCCCGGAATTAAAATTCGACCAAAAGATCTGCGTCAAAATCTAATTCCAGTAACAGTATTAACAAAAATAAATTATTTTTAGAAAATATCAGAAGAAATTTTTTTTTTAAAAAACAGTCAAAGCCTCCTTGGAAATTTCAATTAGCACTATTGTTATGAGAACAATGACTTTACATTTTGCAAATATCAAGAAAAAACTTCCAGTCTTCTTTTTTTAGATAAAATGAAATTTCTTTAATTTCAGAGATTTCTACTATGCTAAATAATGTGTAGTGGGGAAGAAAAAAAGCCAATCAATCTAAAATTTGAAAAAGCCTCCTATCTCCTATAGTTGGCTCGGTCTAAAGACCTCCTATTGCTGCGCCACGCGCTCAAATTTCAAAAATAGCGATTTCGTGATTCGTTCAAAAATGCAATAAAAATTTTTTAAAGTTTTCCAAAAATGGTCTTCACGTGATTTGTGTGTAATAAAAAAAAATAAAAAATTTTATTTACATATATATATATTACATTATTACCACTCTTCCATTGCAACATTTTCAAGAATGCACCTATGAGATTTATATTTCTTTACAGCATATAAGGCACGGGAACCAGTCAATCCTTTACGGTAGGCATCAATAAATCTCCAAGAATACCTTGCATATTTACGTATTTGTTCTAATGATACAGAGTTGAGTGCCTCTGGAACTGTTTTTTCCAATCCTTTAAGGTGTAATCACAATTATCCCGTGCGTATTTTTTTACAGCTCCCCAAAAATACTCAATGAAATTAAGTTCGCAATGGAACTTAGGAAAAAAGATAACTTTATGTCCATGCTCTTCAATAATTTCTTGGATTAAAGGACGCTGATGGAGCCTTAACATCTTCATATTTGGCAAAAATAAAAAGTGCAGTAATGCCTAGAAGTTTTAATTTGACCATGGAGGTTATACAAGCTGATGAGACCTGTATCAACTAGGTTGACTGTTAAGAATGTAATAAACAAAATTTGTAATGAACTTCAACAAGTCAGTCAACGAGAGTTGCCCTCTTAATTTTGGTTGGTTTTCCATATAATTGCTTGGCATTATTTCATTTGGGGTATACTGCAATAAAACCAGACAAAGTGAACATTAGTACTACCAAAAGTTTCAGGGATTGTAAATCTGATCAAATTAGTTTGATGATTTCAAAGATCAAAATTATTTCAATTTTGGTGAAAGCAATATAATAACAGCAATAATAATATATTTTATTTGTATTTTTTTTTTAAAAAAAAACGAATGAATAAATGATATAATTTTCTTATTGATAGCTACAAGTAATAAGTAATCATTATTTTTTTCAATTAAAAAATTTTAATTATACTCCCACCATGGGACAGATGACGCAACGGAAGTTGTTTCGGAATCACTACCAGAAAAACTTTTGTGTATTATATAATATCGCCGGTAAATTTCTTTATAGGGATGGCTTGTTGAAGATGGAAGTACGTGTAATAATGGTGAATCAATTGAATTTTGTATGCTCCAATTTTCATGTATAGCGCGTTCTTCATCGGATTTTTCCAAGTTAAATCCATCTGATAATATCCGCTTTTTCCAAATTATCTTATCACCATCAATAATATTCTGCCAATTTTTATTCACTTGCGCTGCTTTACACATGCTTGAAGTATCTAAATACTTCACTATACGTAAAGCCAACTCAGGTGGCAAATTTTTGAGGAAATCCATTTTTACTTCATCTTCGATTGTTGTTATCATTATAATCATCATCATTATAATCATCATAACTGTCATTATTATCATAATTACCATTACTATTTCATCATCATTAATTTTGACTTCTTCAATTTTGTCTATTACTCTGGATAATTAAAAACCAAAATTTATAATGATAAATACCACAATTCTTTTTAAATAGAACTAGAGTGACGACAAGTTGCGATAACCACCACCATTCTTTTAATAAACGCTTACCCTTTTTCAAATGTTTCATTGCTCATTCTTATTTTTCTTCTTTTTGATTTTGATGGAGTAGACATCTTTATTTTATTTTTTAATATTAAAATTGAATATAAAAAAGAAGTTGATGATGATGGTAATTATGTTGGAGAGGGGAGATAATATTGACGAAATCAAAAAGTTGTTATTATACGCGAACTAAATGAACAATTAAATCACAAACTATAATTAATGAACAAGAATTAATTAAACAAATTGAAATTGGAAATTGAAACAGAAATACATAATAGTAAAAATAAATTATTATTGGCAGGCACTTAGTGTTGCACAGATTTTGCTTACGCGAAATTTTTTTTTTTTTTTTTTGGAAAAACAATTTATTTTAAGGTTCTCCTAAAGAAGACGTGTTAATAATAGAAGTAACTTTTTTTTTATTTGCATTGATATAATGTGGTGTCTTTTAATATTATAATTGAAATCAAAACGCTGAGCAGATCTTGCTGGATAATCATAAGAATCTCATCAAGATTTTAGTAACCAATATCAATATTAATATTATTATTATATATAAATACAAGATGTCGAGGCAGCATGACTGAAACAATTTGAATATGCAATGTTTCATTATCGGAAATTGGCAGACGTTGAAGCACGCACACTACCTTGAACATTACAGTCATTCTTTTACATTCCTCGTGTGCACAAGGCTAATCTGACCACGGTGCTCCCGATGATACAATGATGCTGTTAAGTTTTCAGGGGGGGGCGCAAAGCTCTGGAGCTGTATCAAAGCTGCATCAATTGTCAAGGATGCTTTTCACTAATCTTCACTCACAGCACCCAGACCAAAGAAGGCTGTCATGTTAGCTGAAAAGTTGCCTGCAATGATCCTACCCCTAAGGATGGCTCTGTGTCCAAGATACTGCAACTCTGGAGGAATATTAAGAGAATCAGCAGCTTGTTTCAAGCACAGGAGGTTGCAATTCAGGATGGGGTTTGTGACCCTGAAATTGCATTTGGGCTCTGATGTTAAGAGAAAGGCTGTAAAATAATATGGTTCAGGTATTTTTTTTTTGGTATGTTACATATAAATTAATCATTCCCAGATTTTCTGTTTTGTAAATTTTTATTTGACCAACTGAACTTGTTATTTAAATGGGGGTAGGGTCATTGGTGAGTAGGTGTGCCACCAACAAGACAGTAACTCAGGACTCAAAACTCTGAATCCAGGGAAAATCCAAAACAGCAACTTCCTGAGTTGCAGAATTTTGTACCAATTGCAGACACCAACTTTGTTCTACAGGTTGGGATGTCACAAAGCAAAGCATCACATGAGTGCTGATCTTCATCAGCAAATCAATGCTCCATATGGTGACATACAGTCTGGTCTGAGAGGGAGATAGGGAATGTTTGTCCACTACATGAAAGCCTTCTAATGTGTTGACAATTTTTTCATCCATGGAAAAGAAAATTCCATGGATATGAAAGACTCGCAATTGCATGTTTGTGATAGGAAAATTTAATTAAATCTGACACCTGTGATCAACATCAGATTTATTATTCACAAGCAACTATAATTGATAATCAGGAAAAATAATTTATTCTGTGGACCCCAGAGATCTGGGTAGACAGGCATTGTTAAGAGTTTTGTTTATGCATGGCCTTGGTATTGTTACAACCTGGGTGATGCAATTGTTTGTTATGTCAATGATGATATCAAACATATTGAATAATAATCATGACCATGTGAATATCTGATGGATGCAAGTATTCATATAAAGGAAAGAATTAAAAAACAACAATAAAGATAAGTAATGTTTTATTTATTTTGATTCAATTGAGAAGAATATATAGTGATTTTAATTAATTTTACATATATTGTAACAATTGATTTCGTTAACTTACCTTTTAACCTTTTCTTCAAATTTGGGAAACAGATTGTAGCATTAGCAAAGATTTTTTAGAATGTTACAATTTTATTTTTATTTGATCTTGTGTCACTATATATTATTTTCTTTATATTATTTTCTTTATATTCTTTGTATTCTATATATCATTTATATTATTCTTTATATCATTTTCTTTATGAGATGAGTTACTAATTAAGTGCTGCAGCTTTCTGAAAAGTTCATAAGATATTAATAATTATTATTTATTATTTATTTAATTTATTGTAATATTATATATTATGAATTTTTTTTTGTATAAAAAGATAAGCTTTCCAACATCAATATAGTGCCAATCATCTAAAGACATCACAAAATGTTGCCAATCTTTAAATGCTGATACTTTACTAAATATGGGTTATTTTACCAAAAACTCTCTATTTTTGCAATCTTCTAGACATGAAAATAATGTAATAGAAAGTTTTTTTTGAGTTATTTAGTAAAAAAAAAAGTTATAGTGGTTTAAAGTTATGTTACTTTACTATGTTATTTGAAATTTTGGCAACTATATATCTAGACTGCAATTTACCAATTATTTTCATGATTTAATAACTATTCACATGACAATGTCGCAGCTTACTTACAAATTTGGATTTATATATATATATATATACAGTTGGCGCTCAATATGGTTTTGACAAAAAACTTCACTATATAGTGTGATTCATTATATAAAAAGATCGGCAAAATTTTCACAAAAAATCCCGTGATACGACTTTATTAAAAAATAATGAAAAAAAAATTATAAAAAAGAAAAATAAATAAATAATAGATAATTTCATAAAAATAATTATTTAATAATCCAATTATCCAATGTGCTTTGTTTTTTTAGAAGCAGTATGTTTGGATATGTGATTTTTAATTGCTTTTATTGAATTAATGAAATGTAAGATTTTCATGTGGATCTTGAATATAAGAAAGGACAATGTTTAAAGATTCTAATGCCTCTTTTGTAGTAATTTTTTGATTAACAATTGATAATTCATCTTCTGGCTCAGACTCAGCTGTTGGTCTTACATAATTAATAATTTCTTCGTCAGTAATTTCAACATTTCCAAATTCTTGGATTTCATTATCAATTTTTTGCGAGACATTACTAAATTCAATTACTTTATTTTTTGCGAAACATTACTAAATTCAATTATTCAATCTCATGCATAATACTTTTAAAAAAATTTTTGCGACAAACTACCAAAATTCATGTTAATATTGATGAAAATTTTTTTTTGCTAAATTCAAAATTTATTTTATTATTTAATACAATTAAGTAATGATCGATAAAATTTTTATAATGACTTCACTATATCGAGCTCTAATTAATATAATGGTACCAAGTAAAACTTCACTATATGATTATATCGAGAGTTTATATTAAAATTCACTATATCGAGCAGAATTTATATGTAATGAAACGGGAAATTTTCCAACTTCACTATATCGTACGATTTACTATATAGTAGGTTCACTATATCGAGCGCCGACTGTATAGAGCTCTTTATAAAGCAAGATCGGCATAAAAATTTTCGGCAAGTGGCGCAGCACGTGATGTCTTTAGATGATTCGCACCGTAGAAAAACAACTGGGTAACTCACAACCCATAGTTGAGTATTAACAATTTAAATTCAATTTTGCTTATATTTTGATGTAAGGAAAAGGGTTTCCTTACACACATATATAAAAAGAATATATTGCTAATAATAGTTTGTTAAATAATAATATAAAATATGTTCATATCACAATAGGTTGAATTTAAACCTAGGCCATAATCATTTTTCATGGGGCTAATTGACTAGGTTTTTTTTAATTTCTTTAAATCATTTACTTAAACTTATTCATCTACAGTGTGTTGCAAAAAAAACCAGATAAATCAAATTAATCATCATGGAACAACCACTGCATTAATTCATATAAAAAATATTTCCATTTGATAGGTTAAGGGCAGAACTTTTATTGAATATATTTTAGTATGAAATATTTTCATTATTGATTTTAATTACTGGCTGACATCTTGATTTTTTTATCAAAGTAAATTAATTAGAAATAAATCAGGAGTTGGATTCCACTTTTCTATGATAAATTGTCTCACATCTTTAAATTTTAACTTTATTACATTATTTATAATTGATTACCAAAAATTTTAAAGAAATCTAGTACATAATAATAATAATAATAATAAATTGTGATATGTCACATGATTCTAAAGGTGATTCCATTTCTTTGAATGATTAACTTTCCTATAATCCACATTGTCCATTTCATACAACTTATTAATATTGAAATAGTTATTTGAGAATGGAGTGCTAACAATCTGGTATATTTATTAGGTAAATGCATTTCATTTATTCTAATAACATAATTGCAAAAAAGCAAGTAAGATTCAACCATATTGTGAATTTTAAAAGCAAATTACTCAACAGCTAATTGCCAGATTCAGTTAGAAAATGATTTAAAATGATTTAAAAAAGCAAAACTTTGTTTGAAAATTTATTTGAGTCAAGTTGATGAATTTTTAGTAATATTATAAAAAGTTTTTTGACAACAGTAATTTTCCAGTTTTTTTTGCAACACACTGTAAGTTCAATTCTATTCATACTTCTCTTGAATTCTAAAATAATTGGAAAACCCATAAAGTGAACATAAAATTATAAAATAATATATATAGGGATAAGTGTATATGAAAAGTAATAATAAATACAATGGTTCTAATGAATATCAAAAAGCAATTGATTTTTTAGAAAAAGGTTGTAATTGTGGTTGTTCTTCAAGAATTCCTAAGGAAGAATTTGCAGAATTAAGGGAATCCTTTCAAGCTCTTTCTAAATC